CGTCTGTGGTAAAGCCGTACCTTAAGGGCCTTCTCACACCCGCGGGAGGATCCGAAAAGTAGATCCCTTAATGGGGGTTCCTGTAAAGTACCCTTAGTAGTAAAGGGCCCCAAATTAGGGGATCTACTTTCTAGATCCTCCCGGGGGTCTGGGCTAAGAGCAGGGCTTCGGGGTATATCATACTATAACTGTCATAAGGAGCTCCCGAAATAGCATTGGTAACTACCTAGAGGCTCCATAGTAGTTCCTTTTCGGGGCTCATGTTTAGAATCCTATAAGGTAACCCCCAAAAGGAACTATTATGGAGCTTATGGGTATTTAGGCCCCTATAGTATGGTATCCTTATAGATCCCTTATAGTAATCCTTAGAGGCCCCTTTAAAGGAACCGTATACTACATTCACGCTGTTGCACGCCTTCTGACCCTTCCCAGCTGAACTCAAGCGGACGACCGACCTGGAGTCGTGAGCCCCGGGCTTTGTCCACGTGGAACTTGCTGAAGGCCTCGTCTTCGAGTTTCGTTCTGAACATCCATGGTGGTAGTATGTTAAGTACATGATGGTATGTTACTACTAACCTAGTGCATTATAGTATATTATATCTGTCTAGAGCGTCTCCAGGGCTCTTCCGGCTTGGGCGTTGGAATTCTTGGGTGGCTTTGGTGTGACGGATATTGGGCTTGCGTGGAGGCTGGGGCAGTTGTGCGTGAAGGTGCGTATGCGCATTGGGCAGGGATGGCAGGTTGCCGGCGCCCTGGGATGGGATATTTGCTTCTGTGCCCTGCCGCCTAGCATGTACAGTCATGCATCCTCCCACAGTCGAAGAGTGCCTCCACAACTCAAACTCAGCTTCTGACAGCTGCAGGTGTGGAAACCACTACGAGCCTCAGAGATGCAGGTTGGTCAGCGGCTTTTCGCCTTCCACACTACACGTCAGAAACCTGCAGCCCAATCTGGCGGTCCTAGGGTGGTGTCTCACCACCCAGAAGCATCAACTTCATGAAACCCTCCCGACCCGTTGTGGTGGGTAGTGTTTGAAGGGTCTTGCATTGGGCGGAAATGTAGGGGCCTTTATAATTAGAATAGGGTTTTGGGCCCGTTATACTATAAAAAGGAGACCTTCAAAATAGTGTTGGTAATTACCTGGTAATTCTTATTTCATTACCCCTATAGTACCGATGCTGACAACTGTCTCGGCCGAAGGTCCACTGTAGCGTATCATCCAGGTAGATCGTGTGAGTGGTGGCCTGGCATGGCAGGAGGCTTCCCGCAGTTCTGATGTTTCGCGTCTAAAGAGTTTTTGCGATCACGCTAACCTCACTGTCAACATGCCAAGCCGAGACGACCAAAGAGAAAACATCTATGTATGACACACTCGTTATATATGCTCTCTCTCTCTCTCTCTCTCTCTCTCTATACATATATGTATATATATATATAATACCTCCAAGCCCAGATGCCTGGTAGCAGTTGGATTCCCAGTCGTGATCAGGATCTTCCGCTGTGGCATCCGTTTGTGCCAGAGGGTGGCATTCTCTCCAACGTCCCTGCCGTGCAGAGGAATTGCCGTGCTTCTTTCATATGGGAGTTTCCGAAAATTAGATGTACCTTATTTTAAAGTTTTATTGGGGTCCTATTAATATGGATCCTACTATTTTTAGGGTACTGTGTTGGGGTCCCCTATTTTCGGAAACTACCGTATGAAGCTTATGTAAGTCCAAAGAAACTTTACTGGGCCTGTATTGAAGGCATCAAGTGCTCTTGTCTGACTGACAGGTGCCAACAGACCTGTGTTGTTGGGACTGACAGAATCCGAAGGAACAGAGGTTTTGAGGCAGCATGACGCCGGGGGGTCGGGCCAGGCGCCCAGCCCTGCTCATCTGGAAGGGTTTCGGGTCTTCTACCTTAAGCCCCAAGAACCTACCTTTTTGAGGACTTATATAAGGAATCCACAATAAGGAACCCTAAAAAGGTAGGTTTTCTAGGGTCCAGCTGGGAATTCGATTTCTGGCTCGTGGTTACAGGTTTAAGCAGCAAGTGCTCGGGTGATGGCTTGAACAGCAAACAGCTAAGACTGGTTGTGCCGTGATGCTGCTGAGATTCACGGGCAAACAACGACTGGTTTCGGAAGTCCGGGACTCTGCAACCACGCCTGCAATCAATTTCAGTAAAACCCTACAACACCCAGACCCGATCCCGTAACCCAGTTCCGTGCCACTGGGGTTCGGGGTCTAGGGTTCAGGGGACACTTGGCCCGATGCAACAGCCTACACCGCAAACACTTCAACCTAAAAAGGCGAGCCCTTAATCCTAATCCCAAGCCCTAACCCCAATAAGCCCGAGCAGTAGTAACAAAAATAAGAATAACAACAAGAGTAGTAGCAGTAGTAGTAGTAGTAGTAGCAGTAGTAAGAAGAAGAAGAAGAAGAAAGGTAGTAGCCGCAGCGGTAGCGGCGGCCCTTCACCGCCTCGCGAGCATCCCGCAAGGAGAAGTGGAAGGACCGATCCTTGTCTCTCCTTCGCAGCTCTTACCTTTAGGTAGTAGGGAATGGGAGAATGGTAGTGATAGTAGTTATAGGTGCACCCCATTCCTCCATTCCCTACTAACCGAAGGTAAGAGCTTGGCTTTGCAAAGCTTGATGCCTGAGGCGGTTTGGGATTCTTGGTTTAAGGCTTAGTGGGCCACATGTGCGTTTGAAAACTGGCCCAGCATCTAGACATAACTGACTGCTTCGAGACCGGGCAGGTGGCTTGTACAACATGTGCTTAGAGCTTCCCAGTGTGGCACCACGTATCTAGGGTTTAGGGCTTAGGGCAGTCTCTGCATCCCTCATTGACATTTCATCAACTCAACACCGCAACAATGCCTCAGTCAAGCCAAAGACTGCTCAGAGTAATTGGGCAGAAGCCGCGCCCAGCCTTGTTCAGCGAATAGATTATTGCTTCGCGTGGTCCAACTTCTGCAAGCACTGCTGGAAGACCCACTTCAAAGGACGCGAGTGTGAAGGGACTTGCCGATGCTTAAATGTACCTCCCACAGCCCCGCTTACAGCTGGGAGAAGTGGCACGAGCGGCGCAGTACCTACAACCTCGGCCAGTGAGTCTGATTGACAGAGCAGTGCACACTGTCCTTCTGCAAGCTAGGTCTGCACTGTCTTGGCAGAACACGAAGTGAGTTTCTACACTCCAGTTTCCCGTTCTCGTCATTGCACGGACCTCTTCTGCAGAAGGGTTGGCGGCATGTGCTTCAAAAAACAAGAAGGTGGCAAGAATTTGAAACTGGCTGCACAAGTAGTTTTGCGCGCTCATGCTTCGAGAGCACCTCTCGGGCCCACCACACAATTTCCGACCGCAAGCCGCAAATCACAGACCAAATCCTTTACAGACCCCTGAAGCCCCAAATGCCACACGTGCGCTATCGTGCGCTGCTTCGGAAAATGCAGATCCTTTAGCTGGTGCTGGGCATTTCGCTGCAGTGTGGCAGGCCATCACGCTCAGAAATGCCGGGAATTTGCAATGGCTAATAGGTCTAAAGGCGTCCCAACTGTCCAGGCTAAGCATCGAAGCAGATAGACTGGTATTACGGTATGAGACTTGAGTTTGACATTGGCTTCTGCAGCTTGATTATACACGTTTGTGCCTTCCTCAATAACTTTCGATAGAAGACGTAGGGCTGACTCGGGGTGGTGCTCAAAACCTTGGAAAATTCGCCATCGAATTTACTAACAATCGCCATGCACTTTCCTTCTGCGAGCTGGGTCTCGGCGCTTGCGTTTGAGATTCTAAGACTTTATCATCCTCAAGTCACCGTTCTAGCAACTGCGCGGACGTCTTCGGCGGACAGGTGAGCGGCATGTGCTTTCAAAAATGAATTGCCAAAGCTGAGAGCATCATAGCGGGATAGATGGCAGCGTATGAAACCTGAATTTGTCACTGGCTTCATTATGTGCATTCGTCCCTTCCTCGCACCTAACTATACAGCTCTTGATAGAAGACATAGCGCTGACGGCTGGGTAGAGCTGGTGCTCAAAACTTTGGGAAATTTTGCCAGCGGATCTGATTAACAAATCACCATACGCTCTCCTTCTGCGAGCTGGATCTCGGCGCTTGCGTGTGAGGTTCCAAGCTTTTAAAATCTGCAGATCATGATTCTCGCTACTGCGCGAACCTCTTCTGCAGAAAGGCAGAAAGGTGAGTGGCTCATGATTCAAAATAACCAAGACTGAGAGCATCATCACAGATGCCATGGGTATGAAAGCCGAGCCCGACATTGGCTTTGCAGCTTGACTATGCGCACTGATGCTTTCAGAACACCTCTCAGACCCCGCAACCGATACCAACCTCAGGCTGCAAATTAGCAATATAGTAGTCATAGTGAGCATGGTAGAAACATCTGCAGCAATCAGTAATCTAAGCATGTCTTCGGATGATGCAGCGACTCAGCTCGTTAATCTGGTATGCTTGGGCTGCAGTGGGGCAGGTCTTCTCACCGGCTCGGAATTTGCGGGAAACTTGGAGGAAACCTCGGCCAACATGTCTACAGGCATTCTCATAGCCAGCATATTCCGACAAGGCTTACAACCGCTCCCGCTGCCAGTGCCGAAAATCCCAGGTCGTCGGCAAGGTCTCGGAATGAAGCTCCCAAACCGTCGGAGCCTAAACTCAATCTCTTAAACATCTCTTAAACCAATGCCCGAAAACTGAAGTTTCCCAGGCTACCAGCTTGGCACGTCTAGTTACCGGTCAGTCAACCCTTGTGACCTTTTTCCACGGGGGACTTGGGCCAAGTGCGGTCGCGTAAAGACATAGCTAAGGACCATAGGAATAGCAATGGAGGCAGGGTAAAATCTACACCCCCCTCGCCGTGCTGCTCGAGCTAAGGCGGATAGTACATGGCTCCAGGTTGCCCTGGGCTTCAACGGATTTGGGAATTTGCCAAAGCGAGCATTTATAAAGCACAACGGGGAAGCCCTGCAGGTCCGAAGCAAATCAGAATGAGGACTCAGCGCCTATGGGTGCGGTTCCATGCATCCCACTCGGCCTGAGTGTAACCTCCACGACGCTGGCGATAGTACTCGTCCCACTGGGCCTGAGTATAGCCTCTGTACATGTGGCGATTGCGCTCTGCCAGACGTTCCGTTTGGTCTGTCTGGTCCTGAGCACTACGGAGGCTATCGGTAAGAATCTGTCCGATCTCAGTTGTGATGCCTTCAATTGTGGTAGCCGACACATAGACTTCGCCGTCGAAAGTCAGGATCCTTTTCGCAGCATCGTTCACTGCTGCCACCTCAGCATAGAGTCGCGGAGGGAGGAATGCACCGAGGTAGGTCAAGCCGATGGGGACATCCGCGGTATCATCGATAAACCGCAAGTTCCTCAACGGCTCCACTTCGCAGTGGGCATAATAGACCAGCTTCGCAGGCGGGACATTGCCACCACCATAATGGGAGCCAGCACGCAAGTAGCGCTGCTCCTCACTGCGTCCTGGATCGGGAAGCACAGCGTTCGACAGGTGATCGAATTTCTGCATGTCCTCAAGGCTGCGGCCCTCTTGCATCATTCTCACGTTGAACTGCGCGTCCTTCTCGAAGCGGTCGGACACGGTGTCAAAGTTCAACTTGGCGGCCCTGATCTTTCGGTCTTTGGCGTCACGAATGGCGGCGGCCTCCGCGCTCATCTGACCACGTTTCTTTGGTCCCTCGCCCAGGCCTCGAAGGTCACTCGCGAGGAGATCATCGATGGGCTTCTGGGCTCCGGTCGCAGCGGTGGCAAGAAGGCGCTGGCGGAGTCTCGAATTCTCAAAGACTCGCTTTGTGATTTTCTTGGAGTCATCCGTCTGGGGAGCCTTGCAACGGAGGCAGAACAGCATGCCATTGGCAACGACTGCTGCGCACTCGCGGCATGGGTGAGAGCCAAGTGGGTACGGCTCATCCTCACCCGCATCCGTTGTATCGCCTTCATCGACTTCGACCTCAACCTCAACCTTGGTTTCGTCAAGGTCGAATGCACCAGCAGCATCAGCAGGCTCACCCTCGCGGGTGGCTTCATCCAAGTCCATGCTTTCGTCCTTTTCGGCGATTGCGGCGGGCTTGGGAACCACCTTCGGCATCTTCTTTGAAGCAATCGCTTTGGGAGCGATAGCCGCCTGTTTTGGGGGCGGTGCCGATGATGAGCTTGCTGCTGCGGCCTCCTCATAGTCGCGCTTTGCGCGGAAAATGCGCTCTGGCTCACCCTCGCGGGCGGCTTCTTTGTGCTCGGCGACGTAGAGCGGGAGGTTCTTTTTGCTGGTGTCGATGGCGGACAGCACGCAATCGGGAGGCACGTTGTCCCGTGTGAGGACGCCATCGGTCTCCGTGACGAAGAAAACGCATCCAGCGGCGATTGCTCGCTGCGTGTCTATCGTCAGTTCGATCGGCTGGTTGGAGCGCATTCCACTCTTGTAGTGGGTGTCGTCCAACTTGTACGGGGACAGGTAGTTGTGGGACCTGTCTGACCTCGCGGAGCCGGCGATCATTCCATCGCGGAGGATACCCTTCATTCCCTTTTCATTCGTGCGGTGGAAGAGCTTTGGGGGGGTATCCTCGCGGGAGAGCACAGTGACCCCCCTGACGCTGCTCTGCAGGTCTGCCTCGTACTCGGACAATCCGCTGTAGAACCTGGTCGCAAGGAAGAAGTCCGCGTCCGGGTTATTGCCGATGAGCTTGGAGTTATGCCCTTGGGCCATCCTCACTCTGACAGGGAATAGCGGTTGACCCAGGGTGTCCTTCATTGGCACGTCAATACCCAAAAGTCTGATCCGTCCCTTATTATCGGCTTTCGCTGCGCGTAGCAGCTGCCTCACACCCCAGCGTGCGCCTCGTGCCGTGTTGAAGACCTGGAGCAGAGTGTCAACGTCTGTCCAGCACCCACGGTCAAAGATCAATGAAGGGAAGCTGTCCATTTCATGGCCACGCAGCAGCTTGGTGAGAAACTTCAGGTCTCCGTGTTTGAATGTCACGTGCCTGTCTCCTACAATGTCCTCCGGGTTGAAGGGCTTCATCAAGTGCTTCTTGCCATTGTAGAAGTACTCATTTGGAAGCTCTGGCACAGTGGCAGCCCCTTGCGGGGCGCTTTCATCGATGAACATGAGCCTACGCATGGCATCCTCGTCTCGATCAGACTTCTTAGTCTTCTTCGGAGGCGCTGGCTCAACAACACGTCCAATCGATGAGGGGATAGGGTCGACCTGGTCGCCCTCGTCCACCAGCTCCACCGTGCCCGGGGTGTTGTAGGACACCTTGCCGTCTGCGTCCTGGGTGACGATGTCATGGACGCATTCCGCCACAGCACTAACGTCCGTGGTTGCACCGATCCTTGGCACATCCTTGCGGATGGCTTTATCCATAGGTGGCCCCTCGGAGATCTTATTGACGTCGATTGCGTCAGCGGCATCTGGGGCTTCCCACATCTTGTCCTCCTGGGTGACCGGCATTGGCTTGGCCTGTTTCGGGTTCATCAGCTGGTCCTTCTCTGCACGCCACTGCTTGAAGACATCCTCGAGCACTGGATTGTTGGCATCGGAGCCAGTCTCAAAGTGCTCATAGCGAACAAGCAAAGCCCTGACACAGGGTGCCATCTTCTGGGCAAGCCATTCGCTTCTGCTTGCATTGATAGTCGCATGCAAGTAGGTCTGGAATAACTCGCGGTTGCGAGGGTCTTCGCTGGCGTGAAAGCTGTCATACATTTCCAGCTTTTCGACCAAGGAGCTTGCGGTTTGCACTTGCAGACCGCGCTGCCTGAACTCTTCGAACATAGCGGCATTGAAGTCGTTGTAGGCTGAGTGGAGTTGGAACAAGTCCGCCTCCACCTGCCCAATCACCTTCACAAAACCAATGTCCGGCTCGCCCGCGAGGGCGGCTAAAACATCCGCTGCCCTTCTCACTTTCCGTGCGACGGTCTCCGTTGTGACATTGGGATCTCTGTAGGCGAGTCCCGGTCCTAGCCGCGTGGGGATGCAGCCCCACTGGCCGGAGATCTCGTTCCCGCACCACCAGCAGATTATGTCGATGGTGTGGTCCGGATAGTTGCTCCTGAGCTCCTTCACATGCTCCTCGACCTGCCAGACAATCCACGCCAAGGTTTTACCCCAACACATGGTATAGCGAGTCTGCGCCCATCCCAGCGTAAAGCTTGCGATGTTCACTTCCGCATCCAAGTCGGCCTTAACGAACACTCCCCGCCTGTTCTTCTTGCAAAGTGCAGTGGAGCTGTCTGACACGACTATGATGGCTCGCTTGGTCTTGGGGCTCAACCTTGCGGTTGGCTTCAACTTGGCGAGTCCCTCGTCACTGAGGTCAGCCATCTGGCGCAGAGCCACAGTGGTTGCGTCGGCATGGGTCAAGGATACCCCAGCCGCGCACTGTGTGGATACGCAGCTGTACGCCGACTCCAAGAGCTGGCTCTCATGATCGGCGCCGAGCGAAATGATATCGTTGTTGAGGGCGGCGGATTGGAGAATGGTTTTCATGGCCTTGGTAACCCCATTCCTGTCTGCTTCGGAGGTGTTGACCCTGCAGAACTCGTCGCTCACAACGATGGCTGCCATCTTGGGGATCGTAGAAGTCGCTTCGGGCAAGTCGAGAAGATCAGAACCAGCTGAAATTGCAATGGCAGGCGTGCACATAAAGAAAGCCAAGATTTCATGGTCAAGGCTTGCAGTTTGTTGTGTGTTTGTGCACTCGAGCGATGTGTGTGCAAACGAATCATTTTCGGAACGAGAACACGGTTTGTTAAGCCTACCCCCCTCATCGAGAGGGGAACCAACACACCTCAAACAAACCATTGCATTCTGAGCTGGGAGCTTCAGCTGAGCCGTAGGCAAGAGGAACTGCGCTTGATGTAGGAATTGTTTTTGCTTTTTGTTGAACTTCTGGTACCCCCCTGAAGAGTAGGCGATGAAGGAATGTCGTTCGCCAGTGTAGGGTTGTACACCATGTTTTGTCGATGGATGCAACAGAGTGGGCTTGCGGTATGTGTTGCAATTGTAGCCTTTGTGGTCTTTGCCATGATCATCTGTGTATATTCCCGGTGGTCCCAACTGGCTCGCGCCCTCAATCCACAGTGTCCCCCCTGTATAGTTACCGAAGGAGAACGTCAGGTTGTACGATTCTTTCTGATTGTACTTATCCGTGTGGATGCGGGCCTTGCCATTGAAGTTGAACACGAACGAAGTCCATGTAAACCCTTTCGGAGATGATTGCTTAACAAATCCATTCACATACCTGCAAATCCATGGATAATGTTTTGTGCGATTGGTAATACCAAAGCACCCACCATGGACCCAAGCGCCGAACACCAAGTATTTGGATAGGTTCTCAGAAGCCATCAATGCTCGCGGTTTTGCCAATGATGCCTTGAGATTGGTACGAATAAGCCCAGCTAGCTTTTCGAAGGTCTTGAAGCTGTAATCGTTAGCCTCGAACGATTGTTGAGCGAAGTCCTCGACAACCTTTGATGCTTCCGGAGCTGCTGCTACCGAAACCTTGTTGTCAACCTCGACCTTCGACTCGGGTTTGCACCCGGCTACGTTCGCGCTGGTTGTATGTCCAATAAGCTTCAAGGCATGCGTCCACTTGTTCTTTTCAGTGAAAGGCTTCGTGAACACATCCGCCACTTGTTCGGCTGTACCAACATTCAGTAACTTGAAATGCCCAACCTCATATTGCTGCTTTAGCCATGAGAAACTCACCCTCTGTGTCCGATCAGTATGTCGTAGAACACCAGCTTGCCCTAGCAACAAAAGAGTGATTGTCGCCTGGTTATCCTCCATATGTCTAACCTCGAAACTTTCAGGAAGCTGGACACAGAGGCCGTTGATGTCTGCGATTGACAACCCATCCGGTCTAGTGGACCCATAACGAATTTCGTCAAGTTCAGGGTCAATGCGTGCAACTATCGAATCCACCCTCTCAGCCCTTGGCTCGGCCTTGCGGCCGGCATCTCCACGCCATAGGAAATACCACAAGCTCAGGCAAGGTAGACCTTCGGCACGTAAACCGTGATTCGCTGCTACAACTTCGGACTCAGTAGAGCTCATTGTAATAGATGTTTGTTTCTTGCTGAAGGCATTGAGGGGAAAGTACGTGTTCGGTCCAACCAAAAACATCGCACATCCTGTAGTCGATTTTGAATCGAATTCGCCCGCAAAGTCGGAATCGCTGAACAACCACAGTCTGCAATCCATTATGCTGTCGCCTATGAAACCGCTCATAGTGACATCAAGCGAAGAGTTTATGTAGCAAACCAATCTGTGAAGTCCCAAGTCGCAATCTGGGCTCCACTTGGTCACCCTCGACGCTAAAGACTGTGTTGCCCTTAGAAGGTCCCATCTGGCCATGCGAGCAGCGAACAAAATCTTCATTAGTACCTTACTAGCAATAGGTTGCAAACGCCCTGCCTTCTCTCCTTCGGAAGCTGTTGGCAAAGCCACACGTAGCTCATGGAAGGGGGTTGCAGCTGGTTTCAGGGTCTTACGCTCTACCTTAGCAAGCTCGCAGTACCGATCAACGCAAGAGTCGAGAAAGTCCTTCATGTCGTACGTGATGCGAGTGACTGGCTTGGTCATTGCGCCGGGCTTCTCTTTAACGTCTTGCGACAATGTAACAAACTTGCTCTGCTTCGCCTCCTTTTTAGCCTCAGACTTGTTACGAACCGGCTTGCCCTTGCGGGCAGCTGCAACTGCCAGCTCGAAATCAGACTGTTCCCGGCCTGCGAGGTCGAAGTAGGTTTCGCCGTCCCACCAATCCTGAAGACAGCGATCGCGCATTTGATTGCAACTGTCAACAACAACTTCCTCCGACTCACCCTTGCGGGTGGCTTTAGCCACCACAGTGTATCTCCGAGGACCGATCCCCGGGAACATTCTAGCATCATCCTCGTTGGGGACATAAAGTCTTTTGCGAGGATAACGGTGATGTCGGATTGCTATGAGATTCTCGGGGTCAATGTCCCAATAGTCTTCTTTTCTAGCAGGAGTTGCAGCTGATGATTCGGGCTCAAACACGTGACGAAAAGGGTGTGCTTCCTTGGGCAGCTTGAGGTTGTGTTCTTCCTTGTGCATGCACCCAAAGTATCTACCAATGGCTTCCGGAAGGTCCATATCAATGACGCTCGAGATCAAGTCCCATCCCTCCTTGATAGAGTTCTTAGGGCCAGCGAGTTTAAAGTCATCGACGTATACCACTAAAAGCAGCTTCTTCTTCGGATGGTAGAATACACTCTTCCAAATGTCAGTCAATACTGCCTCGAACCCGACTTTCTTCAACTCAGCTTCGCAATGATGTTCCCAAATCCCCCCTGAATCGGGGTGTCCGTAAAGTGCCAACTTGAGTGGAACAACAGGGTCTTTCATACCCTGCCATGCCTTAGGCCAGCGATTGCGAGGCAACCGTACCCAAGTGGCAACCCCTTGGAACAAAGCTTGGGTGTATGCTTGCTTGGCGTCGGCCTGCTGGATGATGTAGCCAGGTTGTGAGCCAAAGACGTCAAGAATCTTTCCTGCTTCCATAGATGCAGGACTGCTTGACATCTCCGCAAAGAGCGCGTGATCGGCGTTTTCATCAAGTACTTTATTTCCCTGAAATACCGAACGTCCCTTATACTTACGGTTGGGGTCGCCTTCTTTCAGCTCGGCTCCCTTTAGGGTACCAATCTCAAAAACATTGCCAAAGTGAACCTTGGTTTGAGATTTCTTAGCTTCGTTGGCAACCGACTCGAACTCCCTGACTTTGCCTTGTACCCAGCAGCCCTTGTCAACCAATTTCTGCCATTCTTTGTCCATGGCAGCCTGCGCCTTAGGGTTTGTTGCAATCTCCTTAGACGACAGGACCTTGGCGACAACAGCATACATCTCATCTGCGATCTGAAAAAGCTTCTTGTCATATAGCCCTTTGAGTCGTTCCCGATGTTCCTCGCTACACCCATGTAGGACTGGCATTGCAGGTACCGCCTTTACAGCTTCACGATACAGTGCCTCATTCTCCTCATGTAGCTTCTTCTCATGTTCTGCAATTGCTGTTGCTCTTTGTCTTTTCGACATAGCCTTCCATGCAGTATGATCAATAGCGTTAGGGCGGTTCTTGTTGTTCTTCTTGACCAAACATTCCCCACTCCACGTATAACCATACGGTGGTTCTTGCGCTGCTACTGCTGCGCTGGACTTCAGCTTCTGCTTCACAGAGAACGGAACATCATCAAGCAATGCTGCACGGGAATCAGACTTTGACTCACCCTTGCGGGTGGCTTCTTTCGCGTCCTTCGGCGGAGGATCTTTATCACGATCAGGACCAAATAGCTCTGGGAACATTTCATCCAGGTCTTCGCTAAGTTGTTCCTGAATTGTGGCTTCATCGTATCCCCCCCCTTCCTCCAGAGGAGGATGCGGGTTTTGCTCATCAAGGACATTGTGATGTTGTGCATCAAGGCTTGGTGGTTTATCCAAGGCAGGCTCTTGCAACAAAGGGAACTTAAAGTCACCATCTGGTAGCTCCAGTCTCTTAGTCCGAAACACACGTAGGTCTTCGTTTTCCAACGCGGCTTCGATGTTGTGTAGGGGAGCAACAACGTACTCAAGCTTGAAGATAAAACCAGGTTGGATGTGGTACCCAAGGAATATACCTTCAATCCCTGTGCCAGCAAACTTGGATCGTTCAGGCTTGCGTTGCTTCTTCGGGGCCCAATAGAGAACTTTCGCTCCAAAGGGAATACGCATGCCATTGAACTTTTCGCCATACCTGATTTCCCACGGAATCTGACCATTGTCAATCCTCGCAGTGATGTTAAGACACATAGCATGGTGTTGCGATGCAAGAGGCCAATAGCGATCTGGAAGTCCTGATTGCACTAGATTGGCCCGTGTGCCTTCCAAAATTGTTCTGATTTCTCGCTCGATTACGGCCTTGTTTTCGTTCACATACTCTCTAGAAGTGTTGTGGCGAGCGCGAAGCTGTCTGGCCGCAAAGTCAAACTCCAACGCATTGTCGGAATATATAACCTTTACCTCATCATCTGTACCAAGGAAGTGCAACATGTCTTCGTAGCACTGCTCACCAGACTTTGTCTTGGAAGGGTATACGTATCTAAACTTAGAATACACGTCCTTCACAACATGAGCCACGGTTTCATCTTGGAACCCGTAATCCTTGGCATCAGCGGTCACGATGTGATCTACTGTGATGTGGTCACCGAACGATTTACTGTAGATTGTAGAGGATCCACCAGATTTACGCGCCTGGGGCGCATACATCTTGGCCCTTTGACAAATGGGACAGAACGGATTCTTTGGTCTATGGGTAAGTCGATGTTCCAAAGACACAGCCTCAGCCCTCAAGGAAGCTTCATCCTTCTTAGACTTTGGCATTGTGTATGGCTCGACATCGCTGTCGGCTTGCGCCTCAACTTCCCCTTCAGGCAAAGCAAACAATGTGATAGTCGCAATAGTCCCTTCAGGTACTTCCCCATAGATTCCGTCCAATTCATCAATGTTGACTGAATCCTCCAACAAAGACCACACGTCATCCTTGAATCCCCAAGTAGTCCGGATTCTATACCTTGGGAACTTAGGAGCCGGTGTTCGAAACGTCTTTGGGAAGTGTGCCACCTTAGCAGCAGGGCTGCCATTGATGACAGTCCAACCTGCCTTTAGCAGTTGCCTCGTTTCCACCCCAGGAGTGGGAGGAATGCAATTCGCCATCTTTTCGATGGGATCTTCTGCCGCGCCAGCTGGACCTTCAGGTTCATGTTCGTGCTCTCCCCTAGCTGGTGCGGCGTGCCCTTGCGGGCAGCTGTTTACCGAAAACCCGAACCGGACTTGACAGAGGTCGGTGCAACCTTGCTGCCATCAGATTCTGAGGACTTTGCTGCTAAGCATGCCATCAATGGTCCTCGGTCGCCAAATACGGGGACATTGCCTCGGAGTTGGCAAATCATCTTCTGACCGTCTGGGCAAATGAAATATGGCGCCTCGCCCGCTGGCCAGTGGAAAGAGAACCCCTGTTCCATGCACTTCTTTCCTACAGAGCAAACTGCAGGTGTGTTGGGGAGCTCAACGAACTGCAATGGGTTCCTCAATGACTCAATGTAGACTTCATGCTTGGTATCAGCGTCTACTGGTCCGTTAGCAGTGATCAAACTCACTGGGTTGGAAGCAACCTTCTTAGCCTTGCCCTTGAAATGGGCCTCCAAATCAGAGTGACTAATCAGATCTTCCTCGCTACCGGTGTCTGCGATGATTTCGAGGTTCTCACCTGTCACCGCCGCTGCAGCAAGTTGGGGCAGGGGAATTGCTTCTTTGCAGTGAATGCAGAATCCTTCTCTACCCCGACACCTGTAGTTACACTTGACCCGAACCTTAAGCTTCATCCCGTTCACTGCTGATTCCAAGTGACGGGCATTCTGCAAAGCTTCTTCGGTGTCCTCTGGAATTGATGGTGGGCATAGCTCCGCAGACTTGTACCTGAATTCGAACTTGTGCTTGTCTGGTACGAAGCTCCAGCCTTCACCCTCAGGCGGGATGTCAATGATTTCTGGCCTTAGGAACTGGACTTTCCTGCTTCGGGGCTTTCCGGCAGGGCCCTTGCGGGCTGCTACTGCGTAGGCCTTCACAGCATCGGCCGGTGGCTCACCCGTGAGGGTGGCTGTGAGGGAAAGACAGCAAGCGGCTGGCTTGTCCTCACTCTTTGGCCTTTTCTTACTGGGTCGCCTGCGCTTGCCGGAGGGCGATCTCTTCCCGTCCTTGCCAGCCTTATCGCCTTTGGCCGGGACAGAGGGAGCGGCATCCTTGTGCATGAATGGGCAATTCTTACCGTTCTTGCAGGTGCCTTTGGGGTAAAAGATGCAAGGAATCTTGGAAGTATCCTTCTTTTCCCCACCTTTACCGCCTTTACCTCCACCTTTTCTCGAAGGGGTACGTGGAGGTGTTCTGCCCCTTGTCTGTTCAGGAGTAGGCTTCATATGCTTGTATGGGCACTTATCACCTCGTGGGCACTTCCCACGCTGGAAAGCGTAGCAGGGCTTGTCCTGGCTTCGGCCGCGAGGGGTGTTCGGGGTATCGGAAGGAGCAGGGGCACCAAATCTGGCGCCGTGAGCTTTGGCGATTGCTGTGCGGTTTTTGCGAGTCCTATCTCTAGCCAATAGCTCTTTCACGCATTTGACCAAGTAGTCGTAAGTGCGTTGCTCTGTTCCTTCCTTAGCCCTGTCGTAAACCTCCAGATCAAACTTGAGCTTGCTAGCATTGCGAAGCTGACGAAGTAGAATATCTCTCAGCGTAGTCTCCTCGGGTTGGTGATTCAACCGCGATGACCGACTCCCAGTTGTGAATGAAAGTGCTAAGGTCATCACCATTCAACTGCACCTTGAGTAGATCTTCTACAGAGTAGAGGGAGCCTGCTTCTTCGTTGGTCTTAAAGTAGTGTTCGAACATCAGTAGAACCTGTCTACCACGAACGGCCCTACCAGCAGCTGCCTCAGACTCCTTGTAGTTAATGATCTGTCGTCCAAGATCACCCCTAGCAACCCTCGAGAGCGCCGAAAGGATCTTCGTGTCCAAAGTGAGGAATTTACCCGTGTCCCTCAACTTCTCCGCATCGGCGTCCCTGGAGTAAACCTCTTGAACCCATTTGAATGCCTCATCGGGTCTATCCGATGCTGCCCGAACGGCCTCCCTAACTGTGATCTTCCAGCTCCTATAAGTCTCCGGGTTAGGGAAGTCGGGTAGCTTCACCGTTTCAGCTTCCTTAGCCTTGGGTTTGTCATCGTCAGGCTTCTGGATAACCGACTTGAGTGCTTCAGCGAGAAGTACGCTAGGTTCTTTGTTTTCAGTAGATTCTGCCGGTTCTTTGTTATCACTCTGTTCAGCAGCAGATACCGCTACATTGTGGGCCTTGGTATCCTCAGGCTCTCCAATGTCATACCGTTGGGTCCTTCCCAAAACCGTCCGAAGCGATACAGGAATCTCCCTGGGGTTCGGAAGGGTCGGAATCCATGAATGGCTAGGACCCTGAACAAGCGGCGCTGCGGCACCACCTTGCGGTGGGCTTGGTTGAAGTTTGGAGCTCTCACTGGGATCGACTTTCACCGGCACGGCACCACCTTGCGGTGGGCTACTCTCCGCTGTCGACAAGACAGTCCTGAGTGAGTCGACCTCAGCTATAAGCTCCGCGTTCCTGTCCTGCAGGTCATCAACCAAGCTATCGTACTGCTGTGCCTCAGAGGTTAGCCTATGGTAGTACTCGTTTTCTTCCCATTGAAGCTTTTCCTCAAACTCAGACCCTAAAAAGGCAATCATTTCACTGTGGTTTTCTTCGATACTCGAGCGCAATTCCGCGAAACGGCGTTCATGCTGTCTGTTTTCCGCAGTGAGCGTGCGCGCTGCTGCTTCCAGCTCGGATCGATGTGCATCAAACTGCATGGCCATAGACCTTTCATCATGACTTTCCCTTTGTGCGCGTGCCAGCTGTGCCTGCAGCTCATTGGCTGATTGTCGTTCTGATCGGGCGATTGTCTCTAGCACTCGTACTTCATTGTGTAGCTGTCCCACCAACAGGTGTGTGGATTGGCTCACAAATGCTAGCTGTTGACGATGATTCGCATCCGCTGTTGCCTCTAGGTGTGCAATGTATGCGTTGGCTTCGGCGTACACGTTGTCCAATGCAAATCGATGTCGTTGTTCCGCGCGAAGCTCCAAGGCACTTTGAATGCGGGGGTCATTCAGGAACAAGTTCACCTGAGTATTCTCCTGCAACAAATGCAAGAAGTACTGGTTCGCTTCCTGCTCCTGTCTACCACCAATACCACCGTCACCGTTGTTGCCCGCGGCCGTTGAGAACGGCACGATGTCCATTACGGAGCTAACTACGGCTGATAACCTGAAGTTTCCCAGGCTACCAGCTTGGCACGTCTAGTTACCGGTCAGTCAACCCTTGTGACCTTTTTCCACGGGGGACTTGGGCCAAGTGCGGTCGCGTAAAGACATAGCTAAGGACCATAGGAATAGCAATGGAGGCAGGGTAAAATCTACAAAAACGTCGCGTCAAAGCGTTTAGCGGAGACCTTGCCACCCCTGCCTGGAGGGCAAACCGTTCCAGGGGAAATAATCCCCTGCCCGGAGCGATCGTGGCAGTGAGTCAAAGCGAAGTCTTGCTCCATTGACTCGGAGCTCACCGTCCTTAAAGGGATCTATAGGGCTCCTTAAAGGGATCTATAGGGGTTCCTTATAATGGGATCTATAGGGGTACTCTTACCTTTGGTTAGTAGGGAATGGAAAAATGGTAGGAATAGTAATCATAATTCACCCCATTCCTCCATTCCCTACTAACCCAAGGTAAGTTGTGTCCTAAACCCTTGATTCATCTGAACTTCTGAACTCCATGCCTCTGGAATTGAGGGCAGCGCTTGGGCTTGGTTACTGTGGAGGCATTAATAACTAGAGCAGGGTTTTGGGCTCCATGATGGCTGCTAGCAATAAGGAACCCCGAAAATAGCGTAGATAATTATTATTAAGGCGGCTATAGCTGTGCTTGAGGCGAGCTGACATCAAATGAATCAGATCCAATCCTGCCCGGCACCTCTGAAAGGGACGCTGCCTCGTCTGAGGTGCATCATGAACATCCACCAACACACAAAGAAAGAACCGAACAGAGTGGCTGTTGTCGTTGATGTTGGTTGCCGTGGCAGCTCATAACGGCGCTGGACTGGCCAACTTGAGCAAATTAAACTCCTGCTGAATCGAGTTATAAAGTTCGGGACTAAAGCTACCGATCACCTGGTTGCCGAGCAATGCACTTACAGGCAATGCCGACAGTTGCGTCTGGAGCGAGCTCACATCCGTGGCTGCCTGCTGGTCTGCAACGGCCCAGGCGTCTTCAATGACGTTGCGCAGTGCTTGAATAGAAGGAAACCCAAGCGGCATTCCGGCGGCTTTGACCTCTAAGCAGTGGCGCAAGAGGAGAAGCTTGCTTGGAACGTTCAATCGACGCAACTTCTCCCGAAGACGCTTCGTCGGGCGAAACACATCGCGATGCTCCCCGTGATGGCAGTGGAGACAACCCCAACCAGCTTGACAGTTCCCACGCAAATAGAGCACGCAGGGCCTGCAGCAAAACTCGGGATGACCCAAGCTGCCGGGAACACGTTGATCAGCCACTCCTTCATTAGGGTATAAGTATACTTCTAACCCCAATTAGGGTAACTATACTTATAATCCCAATTAGAGTACTCATAACCTTCAGCCACTCCTTGAGGAGCTTGCGTCTCGGGCACTTCGGCAAGGAGGACTGGCAAAGGTGGCGTCAAAGCTGGAGGCGGGGGCAATGGTTGCAAATTTGCTGCGTGCCCCAACACTTCTGCGAGGTACTTGTCCTGGCTGCTTTCCGCTTCCACCTTCAATCTCGGTGGAACACTTTTCGAGCGGGTCGGAGAAGGCGTGCGCTCCTCCACCTGGATGAAAGTGAACCTGCTCTTCACGACACACGCCATCGAGTGCTGATGCGATCAACCGGAGACAAATCGCGAGGATGCACTTTCTGACAAACCGTAAGCGCCGTGACAAGCACTTGAGCCAAAATGATTTGAATTACGGCCACATGTTAATGATGGAGTCTGGCTTCATGTGTTGTAATTGAAGATCAATGACCAACTCGTGGACACGAAACATCCTGGCAAAACACAGGACTCAGAGCCAGCTGACAAGCTTTGAAGATCCGCAGGCCCGGAATTTGCCCATGCACATCTGACTTGTCAACTGTGCAGATTTTTGAGCCATGCCGTGCCAGGCAGACTGCCCCGGACCCAATGATCGTCCTTGTCAGCTCAGTAGAGTTCCAGGCCCCATACCGCTGCAGCACAGCCTGCGTGGAAGCTCAGAGAGGGGCCCTCTTAGGTCCTAGAGAACTCGAATTAAGCACCTCATAAGCCCTGTCAAGAGAAGGTCTGTCACAGACATCGCCCAAATTGGACGGACTTCACCCAAGGAAAACAGGAGTCGGCGAGCTGCCGGAAGCAGGGTGGACGTGATTACGGCGTTTGGGGTTATGGTTATGATGCTTTGCCCTCACCGAACCTGGTCTTCATGGGCCCAACTGGGAAGTCTACAGGGCAAAAGAAGTGTGCTACCAACATAGCTCCCCAAGTCCAGAAGAAGGACAGGACAAGGTCCGAACCCGACGCGAACTGCCTTGAACCCTAAACCCCAAAACCTGAACACAACCCGAAGTCTGCGTTGCGTCTGCCTGCGCTGTGATCGCAACGATGGAGGACGGAGAGTTGACGGCCTAGGAGTGCAACGGGTTCGGATGCTCCTCTAGCCGGGCACTCATCGAGAATCCCCAGTTCCCAGCTCACCTGCAGGGTAGTAGTAGTAGTAGTAGTAGTAGTAGTAGTAGTAGTAGTAGTAGTAGTAGTAGTAGTAGTAGTAGTAGTAGTAGTAGTAGTAGTAGTAGTAGTAGTCGTAGTAGTAGTAGTAGTAGTAGTAGTAGTAGTAGTAGTAGTAGTAGTAGTAGTAGTAGTAGTAGTAGTAGTAGCAGGACTGCGGGGCGCCGAGATGGACGTGAAGCACCTGCAATTCTGGCACGGTCAACAGAGCTCTAGACGGGAGATTCCTTAAGAAGGGCTGGAGCGTGCTCGCATTATCGGACATACCCCGCGAATTCTTGGTAGAAGTTTGTAAGTAAGAGCAACTTTATGGAAGGTCCGGACGATATGTAGTCATGCAGTCTTCGACTTAAGAAATATCACCAACCCCTGCCTACAGCAGCGATCAATCAGATCGGCAGAAGGTAGCCAAAGAGCCTGTATGGGAGATTCAATACATACTGGATCCGACTGCAATCACTAGTCGAATCCTTCTCATGACGGACTCCAAAACCCGACCCCCCCAGTCAAAGCTCTGAAAGCCCCCCCCCCCCCCCGAGTGCTCAGGCATGCAGGAGCCGACCAGGAATGAGAGCCTCGGTGAAATGAGATGCGCCGACCTCGGAGCAATAGGGGCGGGAGGCGAGGCTTTCAAGGGCTTTCGGTTCGGGGGTCCATAGGTTTACTAGCGCGGAGAGTTTCCTTGCACCAGGCTTAGCTCGGGACAAAAGGGTACTCAAAAAAGGGCAGCCAAGTGGTTATATGTGGGGCCAACCACCAGAGCTGCTAAGGGCTCTTCACTCGCTAGAGAAAAGCCTTCGAAGCCGCCTTCTGCGCTACAGTAGGGGACTTAGTAATTAGAATAGGGTTTGGGTTTAATTATACTATGTTAGTCATAATCAGGAACCCCAAAATAATAGCAGCAATGATTTTGGACCCTATCGTATTTCGGGAGGCCCATACATCCCGGAAGCAAGCCTGGAAGTCTTCATGCTGCTCCCGAACTGAAATCCTTCTGTTCATCTCTAGCCTGAACGGTGCACGCCATTGTACATCTACCGACTGAGGAGTCCGGTGATGATTCTTGTTAGGGTTAGGGGTTTAGGGTTTTGGGGTGATTCTCACTTCCCGCACCTCCCGCCTGTCTTGGGACCGGCCCACGGAGGCGTACAGATGCTGTGCCATATCTGTGATCCCAGCAAAAAGCTAAATGGAGGATCATGGGACATAGTAAGTGAGGATATTAGGGTTATAAGTAATTATGCGAATAGGTAAACTGTTTGAAAATCATTTTAGGGTTATAAATACTTATAAGTATAGTTACCTTGTGTATATTTATATTAGGGCTACAGATACTGATAAGTATAGTTACCTTGTATGTTAAGGGTTACAAAGACTTATGAATATAGTTGCCCTGTGTATACTGTATTCCTATAGTTGCTAAGCGCCGTGATCCTTTTAAATAAAGCTGCATGCGGCTGCGGTTACTCTGAGGCTCCCACCAACAGGCCCTCTTGCGAAGGGTACAGGGGCGACACTTGCTTCACGATGAAGATGCTAGAGTCTGCCATGGTTGAACATGGAGTTGGGGCTTCAATAATTCGAATAAAGTTTTGGGAGCTGGCATACTGCTCAGGACGAATTATCTCGGCCACTGTAACATCGGTGCGAGAGAGTTTTGGGGTTAAGGGGAGCCACGAGTTCGGTGCCGAGTGCCCCTGAAACTTCTCTTTATCTACCCTAAAAACCCAAAATCTCTAAAGTTCAACACCAGCCAGATGCACTTTCGCTGGCCAACTCGTACCCCCAAGGCGGGCCGCGGAGATTCCACTGCAGTCGTAGCCAAGCCTCCACTCAGGCGCAAATGAATAAAACTACTGATGATATACATCCTGCATTACCTTATTGACCCTACACTACGGGAATGATGGTATTTTCCTTATAATGGGTTATGCAGGATGCAGATCATCAACCGTAGCATTTTCTAACATGAACTAAAATTCCTTTTCAATGCTTTTGTAGCTATACGGTTTGGGGTCCAAGGACCTTCAGCTGCTCTTCGTTTTCTGGTCTGGCATTAGGTCGACGGAGAATTTCATGTGAATACTGAACATCGGGCTATACTCCCGCCGTACCCGCATACGCTTGCTGAACGGATTCTTTATAGTAAGTCATATTCTATCATATGATCTCATATTATTATGCTCTAGATACATATACATATGTATGCATATACATACACATATACATGTACATATGTATAATATATATATATATATATATATATATATACATATATACACACACATACATACATACATACATACATACATACACACACATACATACGTACATACATACATACATACATACATACATATATATATATATATAATATCATGCAACTGAAAGAGGCTCAAGGCTTCAAGGCCCTACAGGGGGCCCACAAGCTGGTCTGCAAGCACTTCAACCCTCGTAATCCCAGAGGCTCTAAGATCCCTTAATTCAAGAATACCTGGGTTCCTTACAGGGATCTATAAGGGTTCCTGTAGGGATCTATAGGGTTTAGGGTTTCGGGGACTCCAATATCCCTTAATTACAAGAATATCTGAAACTATAGTGGGGATCCTAATGGATTTACGGAATATTGCTTAATCAAGGGATACGTTTCAAAGTCTCTGGGATTGGTTCAGCAGCGACCCCAAGGAGGGACGCCAGCCCAAAGACAGAATGGGCGTAATAGGGGAGCCTTAATAATTGGAATAGGCTCTTGGGACCCATCATGTTCTCCGAAGTCGGAAGAAGAGGCGGACAGGACGGAGCATGAGTCAGCCTACTGTCTGCCTCCGACGAAACTCTGAACTTAGGCTCAGTACTTCAGTAACTCAGTACCTCCGCGAGGTGCCATATGCCTAAATACTTACATATAAATTGGAAATTCTAGTATAGTGGGCCCCCAAAAAACCTATTCTGTTCTAATTATTAAGGCCGCAACAGTAACCCTCAACCACCCATCAAATCAAAGGCTCCTCGCTCGCTTCGGCATGTGCTGAGGTAGCGGCAAGACGAAGTTCGTACGAGACCAGGTCTAAGGTTGTGTCGGCGCCCTGAAAATTGGGAGTTTCCGAAACTGAGGGTCCTCCACATGAGAATGCTACCATTCAGGGGTACTATATTAGGGACCCCTATTTTCGGACACCCCCAAGATGGAGATGCACTCAGCAAAGCTTTTGGAGATGAAGTTGCAAGGTCTGCAAGTGGGAGAGTGTTACGAAGCAAGTGCTGAGCCTTGGCCAGTTTACAAGGTGGTCTAATTTTGTCGAATCGGGGGTTAAGGTTTGGGGTATGGCTTAATGCAAGAATCATCAGGAACCCTCGGCCCTAAGCCAAGGCAATGCTAACTCTGACAACTCAGGCTTCTGTACTAAGCCGACCCACTCGGCCGTCAGGTCTAAGCCTTATTTGTTGACAAAGGAACCCTGGCAAGCACAGCTACAACTTTCATGAGAATCAACACAACAAACACATTGAGAAGTAAGCCGAAGTAAGCAATCAACGACATATGCGGAACCATATCCATAACCATGCTCTTGAGTACGTCTTGGAGCTGTAGTGAATTACAGATAAGGCGGTTTCCGAAAACAGGGGACCCTAATATCGTGCCCTAAATAGTGGGATCCTTATCATAAGGATCTCAGAGAAAGGTACCCCCTAATTTTCGGAAACTCCCATGTAATCAATTCCACGTCCTACTGGAGCCTAAAGGAGCCCAGAGAAGAAGTCGTTTCTCATGTCGACGACATGCCTTCAGTGCTTCGTAGTCTAGATGCCTTAATAATTAGAATTGGGTTTCGGGGTTTATTATAATTATACTATTATTAGAGCTATAATAAGGAACCCGCGCGGAATAATGTAGGTAATTCTTAATGCCTCTACACTACAGTAATCATGCCGGCCGAGGGCAGGGCAACCACGCCGTCCATGCAAGAGTAGTTGCCACACTGTGCAAGCGGCGCAGTCCTGCGAGGAATTCGAATCTGGCTGCGTGACTCATAGAGGGAGCCTTAAGGTACGTTTCATTAAAGCAATATTGTTACAAGCTCTAGTAAGCCTGACGAGATGGGTGG